CCTAGAAAATTATCCACTATTGTTCGTCCGGCAAAGTCTCTAATGGTCTCCGATATTGTCGATCGAGCTGCCATTGTTAAAATCTCGTTTCAGCGCACTCTTATTAAATTATATTACACGGCAAAATAGGTGCCTCGTGGGAAAGCTTTGAATTATAATAATTTCAAGTATACAGTTTACTCAGCTCCATTATCTACGGAGAACGGAATAATTGAGTTTGATGTTTTCATGTGGATTTCCTCGAGCAGTATACAGTGGCGGAACGAACGAATACGAAAAGATCCTACAAGAAACAAGTCCAACAGCGATATTGTTGACCGAAATACATTTTATACGGGGTGTCCCAAAAAAGGGTAATAACAAAAATGCCATTTAATTTAACTTCGTTCTCATTTTCATCCATAAAAGGATTTAGCATGAATTTTTTGCATACAGTACGCTATTTCACTTTAATCGAAATCTCGGTATTTCCACATCATTAATATCTAATTCACTGACTTATTCGGATGAAACGGTGTACTTTTATAAACAGTTAGACTTCATTAATGAATTCTTTTATATGGTTTTTCGATATGCTTTTTATATTGGAGCAAGTGACAAATTGTCTATTAGCGTACGGCTACTAAACTCCATCTTGAGCCGTTTTTGGAGTGAGAATTCAATGTGAAACTATAGATCTTGACCAATATTTTCGTTGATTTTTTGTTCGTATTTCAGCTAACAACGACACGGTCACCCTATATGTGTGCCACTGGCAATACTTTGGGACATTTCTCTTTTTGGATAACGCGAACAGTTTGCTATTTCTTGCACTATCCTTGCACATCATTAATCTTGAGGTGTTAGTTTATGCGGAGTCTCCTAGACACGACAAAAACTATGTACTTTCACGTTTACAAGATCCTCCGACATCGGTGATAGATGACTTTTCTACGCAATTAATTGTTTTGCGCCATTTTCTCCGCATTTAACGGTGCTTTTTGTATCTACACACCAATAAACTTTATCTTGTCGCAGACAATACTGCTTTCAGAGTTTCCACAATCGAGATGGCCAGATCTGAAGACAAGGCGTCTAAAACCTTTTTCACAGAGAAAATATTTTGGACGAGCTCTAAATCATAGCAAAAGTCGTTTGGGAGATAAATATACAGGCCGTTTTTTTAGCTGATCTCACTAAGTGGGAACTCAAATAATCTCTCTTCAGATTCAGAAGATCTGTGATGTAATAATATGTGATACGATAATTATACAAATATTTTAAAATAAAAGAGGTCATTGGGAATTCGTGGTTGAGTACGTAGACTGTCGATTCCTTCCATTATATGAGCAATTATTGCTGAAAATGGTTATAGAGAATTTTCAAATCGAAAAATGGTGGATCTTCTACAAGAAAGTATCCATTGTCCATTAATTTTTTCTGTAACCTTTTGTATTCAAAATTTAGTGTATATGAAAGCTGATATTTTGAACGAAATTCATTTTACACTAACTTTATTTTTATGTTCCCATATTGTAAAAATGTAATAGCAATTGAATACCAGATTATTCTGCAGATTCACTATACCATACGAAGTCAAAATTAATGCAATAATCTCTTTAGAATATAATATTTTGAAAAAGTGGATCTATGCCAAAATTTTCAACAAAAATACGTTGCGAAATAATGAACTATCATTCAGCCGCTTTTTGTATAATGAGAAACAAATAAATTTATTATGTCAGTCTTCCACGTTCTAGCACTTTTTATCTTGGTGGAAGAAATACACAAAGAATGAAGTCTCACACCAAAGTTAGTTGGCGAAAGAAAAACAACACAGAGTGTAACATCGCTATCATTATTTCTCCGCTTCATTACACACGCCTCGGAACCAGAAGGATATGAACTGCTCGTTATCGTTTGGAAAATTCAAATATCAATAAAAGGACACAACTGACTCCGAGGGAAGATTTTTCTCACAAAAGGAACGAAAGACAAAATAACTTCTATCCATGATTTCGACATCTTTGTACGGAGTTTATTTTGAACCTAATTGTTTCCTTTCCCTCTTTGAGTATTTCCCAAAATATTTTGTATGAATATGGAAAAGTGAATTCATAAATCCTTTTTCCCAAAAACTCATCTCCCTTAAAAATGAAATGTTTTACACTTTTTCAATCCCTCTAAAAATAACTTGAAACAGTAAATAAATTTAAAGGACACTCAAAATAATTATAATCCCAGTATGGGATTTACATGAATTTTTCATAATAATTTCTTGTATTAGTATAGCTATCAAAAAATGTATTTAAATTTTTATGTGACTCGTTGACATCTACAAAGTTTGTTATATAAATGGGTAGTTATATAATGGGTGTTATATAAATATCTGGAGATATTTCAAAAAAGTTTATTATACCTGAAAATCGTGTTTTATATTTTCTGATTTTTGCCTCATTTCAATAGGTGGGATCGATATATTTCAATTTAATAGAAGGAAGTTTTTATAACACAGCTTCCGACATACATATATACAGTGTGACCCATTTTTAATGGAAGCACCCCCCCAAAATTTGAAGTTGTAAATCGATTTTAATATTTTTTTTTACGATATATTTCAATTTAATAGAAGGAAGTTTTTATAACACAGCTTCCGACATACATATATACAGTGTGACCCATTTTTAATGGAAGCACCCCCCCCTAAAATTTGAAGTTGTAAATCGATTTTAATAATTTTTTTAAATGTCAAGTACTACAAGGTCTACCTTGGGACAAAATTTGAAATGTTTATTAAAGTTAAAGGATTCAGAGTGCCTCTAAATAGGTGTGACCAAAATTTCATGAAAAAATATTCATTTTTAACAAAATTATGACAACTCAAAAATTCGAAAACTCACACAGCTAACAGTCACAATATATCTTTTTTTTTATGATTTCAACAATAAAGTGCCGCCAGATAAAAAAAACAAATAGCGTAAATATTTTTAATGAAAATAACGGAATTACATTCACACAATTCGACTAACAATGAAGCAAAAAATTTTAATAAACGTAACTAATAACTAATTATTGAAATGTTTCGATTCAGTGCAACAATTAATTCTTACTCATATTCTAGTAGCCTCTACTAATCAACCACGTATTTCGATACACGTGTCGTAGCGCTTACGAATGTTTTTGATTACGTTCCTTAGTTCTTGAGGGCTAATATCTGCACATACCTGTCGAATTCTTGCACAAAGTTCATTTCTATCTCTTGAGCGGTTTTTGTAAACCTTTTGTGTGAGAAGTCCCCAGAGAAAAAAGTCCAAAACTGTGAGGTCTGGAGATCTGGGTGGCCACTCTATAAACGGACTACCACGGCCTATCCATCGGTTTGGAAAATGTTCGTTAAGCCATTGCCTCACAGCTCTGGCATAATGAACTGAACACCCATCTAACTGGACAATTAAATTTGATCGTTCATTGATTGGCAGCTCGTGAATAGCATCCCAAAACTCTGTGTTTCAAAATTCTAGAAACCTCTGCGCATTAATGTTTTCCTCAAAAAAGAAAATACCAATAATTCGTTCGTTCAATATCCCACACCAGGAAATACTGGCTTTTACAGTTTATTACTCAGTTAGGATTATCCGCTGCCCAATAGCGACAATTCTGTGAAGACACTACTCCATTTGTAGTGAAAGTGGCTTCGTCGGTATATAAAATATTTTTTAGAAAATTTCTATTGTTCAAATATTTCCCTTGGACCCATAAACAATATTCCAGGCGTCTTGCTTCGTCGCCTTCTTGAAGTGTGTGTAAAAATGTTGGCTTGAAAGGTTTAATATTCTTCGCCTTGAGACATCTCCGAATAGTTTCTCGTGGAATATTCAAATCTAAAGTGGCATTCCTTATACTGGCATTAGGATTATTTCCGAAATAATCTAAAATGATTTGATCATTCTTGTCATTCCTGTTTCGTCTTTGTACAGGATTACTTTTAAACATCATTTTTGATACTGCACCAATTTCATTGAATATTTTATTTATTTTATTTACCATACTGTACCTAATACGAGGACGATCTGGATGTCTCTCATCAAATATTCTACAAACCTTGCTAGCACTTCTAACGTCATGTCCAGAAAGGCGTACAATTTCAATTTTCTCTCTTACACTCAATCTTGCAGCCATGACACAAAATAATTCGAAGAACTGTAAGGTGAATATTGTTGACAATAGTACACTTAAATCTTTCACAAGTGTCAAACTGTAATATCATTTCCATGGCAACTAAGATTTAAATTGAAATATTAGGTCTTAGTTTTAGTTAATTTGCGTGAAAAGTTGAATGTAACTCCGTTATTTTCATTAAAAATATTCACGCTGTTTGTTTTTTTTTATCTGGCGGCACTTTATTGCTGAAATCATAAAAAAAATATTCTCATGGCTATATCTGTTGATATAGGGTGTTTTTTGTAACTGTTAGCTGTGTGAGTTTTCGAATTTTTGAGTTGTCATAACTTTGTTAATAATGAATATTTTTTCATGAAATTTTGGTCACACCTGTTTAGAGGCACTCTGAATCCAGTGGCGTAGTGATTTTTTCAATAAACAAATCGCTAATAAAAAATCCCGATTTTCGACTAAGAAAAAATATCGTAGTATGCCCTGAAACTTTAATAAACATTTCAAATTTTGTCCCAAGGTAGACCTTTTAGTACTTGACATTTAAAAAAAAATTATTAAAAACGAATTACAGCTTCAAATTTTAGGGGGGTGTTTCCATTAAAAATGGGTCACACTGTAGGTATAGACATCTGAACAGGTAAATAACCTGAATTCCAAAAGAATACCAAGTTGAACTTGACACGCCTGAAGAAGCTCTTTTATACTGAAACACATATTGCGTTTTTGTAAAACTGTGTTTCTAGAATACTTGACAATATCACCATTTACAAAAATAATGAATTTTCAGAATTTTAGACCAAAACTTGATTGGAACGACACACTAATAGTATTTTTTTTTCAGAATGGAAGAAACAGTTCGGGCAATGCTGGTATTCAAAAAACAGGCAGAGCAACTTCGACAAGAAAAAGCTGCTTTAACTCTAGCTTTCGAGGTAAGACTCAATTTGGAAATGCCCATAATTCAAAATGTTACTTGATCCGAACGTTATTCAAATTTTCAAATAACCAATTCAACCAAGGGTAAGCATGAAAAGTAGGAATCGCACGTTAATAGGTAAGACCTCGGTAGTCCTTAGCTCGTTCGTAGGCGAGCGACAGCTGGTTAACGGAAAAACAGATTTTTGAACAGTGACACAAGCCTTTCCAGTTATTCCATTTTCATTTACAAATCAATACAGCTATCTGTTTCTTTTTCGAAAACAAACATTTAAGAAATGGAATGCTCAGACTAGATTTCCTAACTTTATTCGAGCTATCTCAAAAAATCGCACAAATATAAAATTCCTATCATATACAACGAAACCTCCTCTTCATAATCTCCATTCGAAAACAAAATTCAGTTAACCCAGCATTGTTCCGTACAATGTTCAGTTTTAATTCCTTTTTGGTCTCCGCTAACTATACAAAGTGCTTTGTATTCTCCAACCAAAAGGCTTTCCACCACCAGCTCAGATCTAATATTCCTCTTTTGTTTCGCCGTTTCCAATTTACATTTTCTCCCAAATACCGCTACAAGTGTTCATATTCGGATATTAACAAATCCCTTTCTGAATAAATATTGGCTCTAGATTGCTTGAATGGTACGCGGGACTCGATGTTTGGGTGTGGCTTTCACAAAAAAATAGAGAACTGCACATACGATCGGCAAATTTGTTGATTACCGAATATAAAACCCGACCAAAAAGACTTGTTCAGGAATAGAAATCACTATTTTCGCTATATTGCTAAAATAATACGATTTATGTTGAATGCCCATAAGAGTAACATCTCAAACATTCATCTTAAAAGAAAATCAAGTTGATTGTGCAAATATCATTATTTATTGAAGATCAGTAGTTTTTAGGCCTTTTTAGGCCATTGATTCACAATGTAAAAAATTATGAATAATAATTTATTCACCCCAACTTTTTTATAAAATAGTTCGGTTGTTTTTTATGCAACTTATCGTATTTAACGACCTCGGAAACATAGATGTCTTCTGCTTTTCTTTTTCAATCGGGGAATTCAGGGAAACGTCAGTCCTCCATATTTGCCGCCATCTTCACCATCGTTACACGAAATGCTTCTAGCAAAATTGGCCCTGACTATGAGGTGTATAAGGTGTGTTAGTATAAAATGTCTCATGTGAAAATTGAACTCTTCACAGTAAAGCATAGTAACTGATGTATTTCCTTGTGATTCGTTGGGATATTTTCGTATTTTACTCTTCGGAAACTTCCTCTTCCTTGGCTAAAGAGTCGGCAATGCGATTACTTTTACTCCTGTCGTGCTCTTTAACCCACCTCAGGATAATATTATTACCTACCGAAGCTTTGGCTAAATCTTGGTGGCTGAATCTAGTACTAGCCTTGAGGTAACACGTTGTCTGTTCAAGGCTAATAGGGCTTGTCTACTATCAGTACGTTAAGGAGATCTGTTGGAGTTCTATCCACATCCTCCAGATCTCCATTCGAGGTATCGTTGCTGTTTCAATGAGCTAACAGATGTATCAACAGAATTATTCCCTGTATAAAGTTTTCTCTTGATTCATTCAATACTCAAGGTAGACACGCTGTTAGTGAGTCAAAAACTATTCCCTATATCCGTGAGGCATTGTTTAAGAAATGAGTACCCTATTGAGAAAGACTGCAGGTACATTTTGAGGTTCGAAATCATAGAAGACTGCATTTTACCCAGAGCTGTTTCAATGCCCTATAACCCACTATGGGCCAAAGTCTAACGTTCTCGTAGAATAGATCAGAAGAAAACCTAAACCATTTCATTCAGTTCATGGGTTATTCAGACTGCCACTTTGAAAAGCATCTACGAGCTACATATCCTCCCCAGCATCATCCTCATGAGAGCTACTGTTGCACATTTTCCTACCCCAAAGTCAATCCTCAAGGACCACCACCCTCAAGGACTGATAAAGTTCTGTTTATCTGAGAAGCAGAGGTTATGGTCGTTCTTATAAAAATTATAGGCTATCTTGACGACTCTTGTCTCTTGAAGTGACTTAGGGAATGGCAATAGTATCTTCAGAAAAGAAAGAAGCTGATGGAAATACCCTGGAACACACTCCCTTCGAAAGAGATGCTTGGACTTGACCTAAATGAACGTTACAGTGAAACTGACTGAGATTATTTACAGTTCAAGTGCTTTTGGAGCATTCGAACAAAGTTTAGAATACTACTCGATTCAGGTTGAAGGTGAGATTACGCGCATGCTACACAAATATCTGCGTAACGAATCTTTGGATGAAAATATCATTCTCACAACTAGAAACCCTTCTCTTTCTCTTTCTACATCTATACTTCATGCTCACATATGAAATGAATCATTATGACTATAATTCACAAAAGGAATTCATCCTTCATCATTATTGAACAACGCTCATTTAAATAATTACAAATGAATTTAATTCAGAGTTTTTTGTTTACGTCATTTTCATTTACGGATTTCACAAATTTATTCAGATACGGTGTTTAGGTTCAATGCTTCATTTGAATACTAAGAGGAGAGTTATTTTTTACCGGAGTTGTCTAATTGAAAATCGATAACATCATTTAGGGATTTGCAAACGGTAGCATTTCAGCATTAAACGAACTTGCTTGCGGTTTTCCACCAAGATTGAAAATCTTTTGAGACTACAGAAGCGAGACTCAAAAGAATGCTTATCGAATGGAAGAGTTGAATATCTGACAACTCAGCAAATTTACCCTAATAGAATTAAGATTGTATTGACATGAAATTGTACTTGATTTTCTGAGTAAAAAGCTTTTCCGCTGTCTTCTTCTCCATCGTTGAACAAAAAAACATGGGAAACTTCGAAAAAAATGAAGAAACAAATAACTACAGTTAAAACTCCTTACCAAGTCCCCCGAAACAATAACATTCAAACATATGAACATTGAATAATATGAAAATATTGTTTTCTGTTCAATAATCCAAACATTAGTTATGGAAATGAAAGAAAATTTATGTGCTTGATATGAAGTGTCACATTTTCGTGTCCTCGAATTATTTTGAAATTTGAAAGTTTTATATCTTTCATTAATATAATTTGGCTTTTTGTAAATGAAGAATTTATGTGTATTGACGAGTAGGTGGAACTGCCAGGTTTCAGCAATCGGTAACCAACCTGACTCCTCGAACTTGGGGGATATATGGTCGAATTTTCTCTCACCATAAGAAAGACGAATGCAAATATTTTGTATTTTTTGTAAACGATTTACATCAATTTGTATCAAAGCAGGCCCGTAGATTATATCGCAATATGCTAATCTAGACAGTATGAGGGTTTCGCAAAGTTTCAACTTCAATTTGGAAGTCATAATATCTCTACTTTGATAGACTTGACGTAAGATACTGTACGAGCTACTACAAAATGAATTTATATGTTTGTGAAATCTCAGATCAGCATCTAGCCACAAACCCAAGTTCTTGCTTTCTGTAATTATCTGTAGTAAGTCTTGTCCAACTTTGATTTCAATTCTTCCTTCAATTTCCCACCTTTTATGTTTCGGCCCAAAGAGTATCAGCTGAGATTTTTTAGAATTCAATTTCAGGTTATGGACTATAGATAGATCCAGTAACTTTCGTAGATCGCTGTTAATATTTTCCATTGCTACCTGCCAGTTACTTGGAGGAAATTGATAATATAACTGAGTGTCATTTGCATAGTAATGAACTGTGCAATGATCAATTATTTTATGGAAGTCAGATATATATAGAGATAACAGAATGGGGCCAAGGATGGAGCCCTGAGGTACTCCATAGTCAACAGGTAAAGCAGTAGAACACTTTCTGACTGACTACGATTTCTGAGGTTACTTTTCAACAGATCTACAGTCCCTTCACTAAATCCGATCACCATTATTGACATCGGTCTCAGTTTTGGGGTGAAATTCTTGGCAGTCACGGAACTAATTGAAGGTATCATCATACACTTTCCAACCATTAGGTATTTCACTACATGACCGAGCACTTTTTGGACGTCAATTATATTCAAATCGAGATTTATGAACGCGGAAGATGAATACATTGATGAAGCATTAGCGGACCTGTGTATTATTTATGATAATCCATTACAATGCTGCTTGATGACTCGAACGTCATCGGAGTGTCATAATTATACCTTCAATTAGTCGGCTAAATTACTGAAGCTGCCAGATGGTTTGACGAATGTGAGAGAAAGAATATACTGACCTCAATAATATTATTATAATGAATTTAATAATTATTTAGGAGACAACCAAAACACCTCTCATACTAATACTTACATAACTGCAACAGTCGTTAATATTCTATTCAATAAAAAAAATAGTGAGAAACTACACACTAACAGCGTGGATTTTCCAAAAAACGACTATAGAATTGTAGAACGATCGTTACCGATATATAAGGCCGGCTTCTCGCCCAGAGAGGGCAGTGGAGTTCAGAAAGTGAATCGAGCGGTTAAACAAGGAATTCAAATAGTGGAAATAAATTAAGCGTTAGTTGCTAAGTGTTGTAAATAAATTAGTTTGTGATTAGTGAAATATTATTAGAAATAAATTTGTTCAAGACAGTAAATTCGTTAATTTGTTACAATATGATATATTTGCGGCCTCAAAACATAACCCTGCAGCATACCATAAGTAACACCAGCTCAGTTCTCCCCTTGTTGTCGATTGGTGTTTCTAATTATGGTAAACATCGACCAAATCATTGGATATGTCGGAATATGTCCATAACTACCTTAGAAGATGACTGAGCAATCAATCATTGCTGAGACTTCAGGATATAACCTTCATCCTCGCAGTCAATGTACATACCACCGATGATGTCTGTCACAAAAGCGTTTGCTACTTCAGGTGTCATTCAAACATGGCTTACTGACCTCGATTTTGTTCTTTTCAATTGGGCGTGAAAGCCTATATTTTCATAGCATTCAAAAGGTCGATTTCTAAGT